GTCTGTCTGTCTCTGTGTGTGTGTGTGTCTCTCTCTCTCTGTCTCTCTCTCTCTCTCTCTCTTTCTGTCTCTCTCGCGCGCTCTCGCTCTCTCCCAACCTTACTCCCCCCCCCTTTCTCCCTCTCTCACTCATGCCCATGCAAGATCCAAAACCCATTTCGGCTCCCATGGGTGCACCCAACGAAAACGCATTTCCCCAGCTTTCTGGTATGCACAAATTTGGGCCTATTGGCATGGCTCCATATTGCCCTCTTGTGAGGCTGCGATTATACGCTGATGTATACATTCTGAATTTATAATTTCCGTCCTCTTGTTTAAAACAGTGAGAGGGATTAAATATTTCTCCACAAAAGTATAGCTGTCACTTTCTTAACACAGGGCTCACAAAGGGTGACATACTTTTTCTTGCAACTTTCAAAAGCAAAACGATTGCATTTCAGAAGTCGTGTGTCAGTTATCGAAGGACCAATAACTCCTCAATGCAATCTCGTTTGCCTGTTGAAATACTGATGTTTTAATTGAATACGTTAGCATTGCGAGGAATTTGCATTATTGATTTTTACAAAGAAAAAGGCTGGAATACTCTGAGTATTATTTCCTGCATAGTCATACGGCTCTTCAGAAGGTTGATGACGTTGGTCAAATAATCATCTTATTATCTTATTATAAGAATATCAGTGATTGCTAGTTGTCAAAACAATGGTCCTTTACAATCATACTTAAACGAAATCATTTTGCATTTAAGATTGAAACTACTTTTAGTCCAGTCGTGCAAATATCTAGCAGTGAACTTCGAAGAATATCACAAGGAAAACTTATTTCGGCCAAAATGTGTTTGTATCCACAAGGATGTCCATTATATTCCACTGTACTCTATAGTTCCTGCAGATTTATACTGTTTTCTGGTTTTCTCAAATGGTATCATCTCTTCTCCTAATATGCTAATGCCAAGGAAAAAAGAGAGTGGGGAGGGGGGGGATCACTGGAAAGCTGTTCTCAAACCAATCGCCAATTGACCATTTTTGTTATAAAGTCGAATCCCTGTTACTCTCCCATCAAATTCTGGCAAGGTCATGTGGCTGTCAACAATGTAATTGCTCCTGGCCCAATCCCAAGTACTGCTCGCCTTTCTCTTTTTCCTCTTTTTGAGCGCTGAACCTGAGGAGCTCTTACTGAACGCCCATCCTTGGTTGGCCCTGACGTCACAGGAGTCCATGGAGCAGAAGTAGACCCCAAGTCCCAGACAGTTGGTTTGCGCATTGACGTTCAGTTTGACGGCACAGACAGTCTGGCCTGGTTTGCTTGCCCGGACCCAGCTGGTCATTACACAAGACAGGCTCTCATAGCTTTGTCTCGTGTGATTTGCTGAAGAGAAGACACAAATAAGGAAAAAACGTCAAAGTTGGTTTGTTTTAGTAAAGTAAGTAAGAAAGTAGGTGTTTGTTCAGCGTTTTAGTTTTAGGCCATTGGCCCAAAGCACATAAAATGCACATTAGTAGTGTATCACAAAAGAGACTTCCAGAACAACATCATAAATCATGAATGACATACATATATATCAACAACATTTTGAATTCGACTTTTGTTATTAAATAAACTTTCCATGATAAAATGGTTTGAATGAGTGGTGGTGTAACGACGCTATCAACAAAATTTTTGTTATGTAAACGTCGAAAAAAATGTAATTTAAACACCCTGTTGACACAATATAAATCATCTAGGAGGTGGGCTTCGGCCCTGCCTGCCAGGGCGTATTCGCGGTGTGAGGGATACAACATCCCAGCAGGAAAAAAACGACATATTCGATTAAAATTCTCCCAACCACGGAATCGAACTCAGGTCTTCTGCGTGCAACGGAATCGAACTCAGGTCTTCTGTGAGCTACGGCGAAGTGCCCATCTGCTTCACAACAAACGCCAAGGTAAACGAAACTCAGGATTTTAAAAATCACGTAACAAGAAACTTTATATCATACGTGGTATGAAACTATAATCTTAACCTGAAACACACGAAAACGGCTTTTAAAAGGGATTTTTGTCCATTTTCTATGAGATGCTCCAAAAACCCAAAATTATATTAATAACAACCATCATCAATTACCCAGCGGGTTACGCCTTTGAAACATGGACAAACGGGACTTCATAACATGTATCTAGAACAATGTCCTAATTCTAGATCTAAATAACAACACAAACAAGTTTTCACAGAGATTTTTTAAACACTTTTCCCACCACTTACTGGGCTCGTCTCCGAAGCGGAATTTCCGGGTTCGAGCCTCGGTTCGGAGACGGATTTTTTCTCCACCCAGCAGTAATGGGCACCTGACTTCGAGTTGTGGAAGTATGGAAAGAAACTGGCCACACTACCACAATATGTCGAAGGCCCTCCAAGTTGTCTCACTATCAAGGCAAGTCCGAATCGGATGCGGGAATCACTTTTACCCACCATCCCCCCTTCCCCTCCCCTCTCTCTCTCTCTCTA